ATAACGAGGATAGAAATAGAAATAAAAATATAGAAAGGATGGTAATGAAAAAAATTGAGAATGTATGATGGATAATGATGAAAATATAAAAAAGAAGATGGAGGATGAACACAAGAACGAAAATAAAAGATTAGATTATATACTAACAACTTGTATAGAAAGGCTGATGATAGAAAATAAAATAAGATAAAAATAGGATAAATAGTAATCATGAAACGGGTGTATTTAACCAATTTGGAATAGAGTGAAAGGGAAAGGAAAACGCAATCTCCAAGGAAAGAGGGTTAGTAACGGATTGGATGAATAAATGTGGAAAAGGGAAGGTAGTAAATGAGAAAATGGGGGGGGGTATCAAAAGAAGATCAAGAAAAAAGTGAAGAAAAGGGAAGCAAAAGAGAAGAAGAAAAAAAGAGTATTATAGGGGTTAGAAGAGTTAGTGAATAATTATGGGAAAAAGGTAGATAGGTAAAGAAGAAAATAAAAAAATAGAGATAAGGGAAAATAATTAAAGAAAGAAAGAAATAGAATAGACAGGGGAAAGAGAGAAAGAAAAATATAAGGAAAGATGCTGCTGGAAGGGTGGGAATGGGGATAAATGGGGATGGTGGAGATAGGTAGAAGAAAGGGAGAAATAGAAAAAAATAGAAAAATAATAAAGATGCAGCAATTGGCTGATTATAAGGTGTAATATTATTGTAGTCGTTATATTGTTTGATTCTCTCTCTCTCTTTCTTTCTCTCTCTCTCTTTCTTTCTTTCTCTCTCTTTCTTCTTCTCTCTCTCTCTCTCTTTCTCTCTCTCTCTCTCTCTCTTTCTTTCTCTCTCTCTCTCTTTCTCTCTCTCTTCTTTCTTCTCTCTTCTTTCTCTTCTCTTTCTTCTCTCTCTCTCTCTCTCTCTCTCTCTCTCTCTCTCTCTCTCTCTCTCTCTCTCTCTCTCTCTCTCTCTCTCTCTCTCTCTCTCACATCCCCTCAGCTTCGAGGTGAGCGATACTGATAGATCACCACCATCGCCGACTGAATGCATGACTATTCATGAGTTGCAATTTTCATTTGAAAGTTAAAAGTTTCTGCTCCATTTGCAACGTAGAACCGCTAATGACCAAGGCTCGCTCGCGCGTGCTTTTTACACCTCGTTTCGGTGCAGTTGTTTTTAATATATATATATATATATATATATATATATATATATATATATATATATATATATAAAACATCAAAACTAGGTGTACGGATATACAAATACTCACATATATACGTATATCCGTAGACATTCCTACGTAAATTGAGTACCTCCCTCCTCCACGCCGCCTCTTGCATCCATCTTCATCTCTTTCCTTCGCCGACGTCACGAAACAGTCGCGGGACCTACATCTCAAGCCGGATTTATGACGCTACGCCGACACGACAACGCTTTTTGCAGGGGGGGGCGGACCTGTGGGGGTGGGGTGGGGAGGGCTGACCTCTAGGGGGTGGGGGAGGTAGGCATTGTAATAGAGGAAGGCATAACAAAAATGTATATAGGTTTTTTTTTCTCACTCGTTCTCTCTCTCTCTCTCTCTCTCTTTGTATTTTTCTTGGGTGGTATTCGTCTAAGCCTAACGGGGGGAAAGTGACGGCTCTTTTTTTTTTAATGAATTCCATTTTCTTTTTCTTTCTTTTTTTCCATCGACTTTCTCCTGTCCATTCCTCCAGAATTCAAACGCCTATCATCGTATCCTGTTTTTTTTCTACTTATCACCATTATTATCATAATCATCATCTTTATCGTCAAGCGTATCCATCCCCGCTCTGTATCTCCTACTCTTCCTCTCTTTCTTTTCTCCTCTCTTCTTACTTTTCTTCCCTTTCCTCGGTCTCTCCCTCCTTCTCCTCTTCATCATCTCTATAGCTCTCTCCTTCCTCCTTTTTCCTCCCCACCTCCTTCGCATCCTCATCCTCATCCTTTTCTTCTGTTTCTTCTTCTTCCCCACCTTCTCCTCCTAACTTTCCTCCTCTTCCTCCATTTCTTTCTCCTTTTCTCGAATAAGAGAGAGAGAGGTAGAAAGAGGAAAAGAAAGAAAGAGAGAAAGAAAGCGAGAGTAAGAGAAAGAGACACAAAAAAGAGGCAAAGATAAAGACACAGAAAAAGAGATAAAGAGAAAGAGAAAATAAAAGAGACACTCCTCCTTCCAGCCGCTCCAAAACTCAACCCCGAATTAATATTCTTGACTTAGCAAAGCATTGGGATCCGTAACATTGTCTATGGCTTTGTTATGGTTTGGGCGAGTCAGCTTCCTGAAATTCCTGTGTGTGTACGTGCGTGTTTGTGTGTGTGTGTGTTTGTGTGTTTGTGTGTTGTTGTTTTTTGTCTGTTGATTATATCCATTATTGGGTTCCCCTTTTCTTTTTATTTCCTCTCTCTACTTTACTCTACATATTGTTTTAGCTCAATTATCGGGTTTTGTCTCTTCTACTAATGAGGTTGCCGTAATATTGCGATAATTGGGAGAAAACGATAACGATAATAGACAACAAATGAAGGGAAGAGAAATAGAAAGAAAAGAGGTTGATAACGAATGAGGGGAAGAGAGGTGGAAAGGGAGAATGGGAAGAACAGAAGATTAAAGACGAGGTAACAAATGTCGGAAGGAGAAGGGGAAGAGGATGAAAATAATTCGAAAAGAAGGATGAACAGGATGATGATGTTGAGAAATAGTGATAACGAAGATAATGATAAGAAGGGAGACTACAAAAATCGGCAAACACAGAGAGCGAGGGAGAGGGAGGGAGTGGGGTAGGTAGGTAAAGAAGCAAGGAAAATAGAAAGAAAGAGAGAGAGAGAGAGAGAGAGAGGGAGGAAAATGGAAATAAAGAAAGAAGTCAAATGAAATGATGAGGTAATAAAGAACATGAGAAAAGGAGAGGGTATTAAAATAATAAAATACATAGTGAATATAAAAATAAAAAGGGGGAAATAAGGAAACGAAGAGAAAGGAAATACGAAAGGAAAAGAAAAGAAACCCAAAGTAAACGAAAGGGAGAGAGAAAAAAGTTCCCACGAACATACAAAGTGTAGGAATGAGAAATACCAAGCACGTATATTA